CGGGCATAACATTATGACCACCTCCTTGTTTCTACACTCATTGTCCATTTTATCAGCTCCACTTACTATATAGGTGCACTTTGAAGTTCTACAGTTACAGACTGTAGTCCATCTGTTTCTCTGCATACTTTGTTAGCCCCCTTTTACCCTGTTCTTCAGTGGTCAGGACCCCCATGGACCCTCACAGAGCAGGTACTATTTGGGTGGTGGATAATTCTCAGCACTGCAGTAACACTGACGTGGTGGTGGTGTGTTAGTGTGTGTTGCGCTGGTCTGAGTGGATCAGACACAGCAGTGCTGCTGGAGTTTTTAAACACCTCAGTGTCACTGCTGGACTGAGAATAGTCCACCAACCAAAAATATCCAGCCAACAGCATCCTGTGACCACTGATGAAGGACTAGAGGATGACCAACACAAACTGTGCAGCAGCAGATGAGCTATCGTCTCTGACTTTACATCTACAAGGTGGACTGACAAGGTAGGAATGTCTAATAGAGTGGACAGTGAGTGGACACAGTGTTTAAAAACTCCAGTGTCTGATCCATTCGTACCAGCACAACACACACTAACACACCACCACCACGTCAGTGTTACTGCAGTGCTGAGAATTATCCACCACCCAAATAGTACCTGCTCTGTGAGGGTCCATGGGGGTCCTGACCACTGAAGAACAGGGTAAAAGGGGGCTAACAAAGTATGCAGAGAAACAGATGGACTACAGTCTGTAACTGTAGAACTTCAAAGTGCACCTATATAGTAAGTGGAGCTGATAAAATGGACAATGAGCGTAGAAACAAGGAGGTCATAATGTTATGCCTGATCGGTGTATATTTTGCTTAAAATGCTCAGAAAATAAGTGACTTGATGAAGAGTGACAATATTTAAACCTTCAGAGGAACAAATACAGAAAACTGGTCAGTTAAATCTTCTCTAATGAGGGCAGAATCCAGTCCAATTACAGAGAATATAAAATATAGTCTAGTTAAAAAGAGTCTGTTATCACTAACCAGCAATAACACACTGTCAAACTCAAACTGCTGCACTTGATAAAAACTAAACAGCTAACAAATATACACTGAAAACAGTTAAGAAGAGCCATCGTTTAGCACTGGTTATTATATGTCTTATAAGTATATAAGACTAAAGTTTATTTGGCAGCAGAAACTGTGCTGCTGTGTGAAGCCATGAATGTTACTCTTGCTCTTATCATTTTATTTAGGAATTGCCTTGTTATGGGCCATTTTTAGTTCACTGACCAGGTCATTTGTTTACCTTTTTCTTTGCCTTCAGTTTTTGTCTGTTGGACATCTGTTCAGTGAAGGTTTTTCTGTTCACGTCACAGACGCCTCTCATTGGTTACCTGTTGCTATGGATACCCCCTGATCTAAAACACACGCACGAACAGCAGTGACTGACTAGCTAGTGATGCATGACTCTGAGTTTTCTGAAATCAACTCCTGCCGTTGGAATAGATGGAGTCGACTCTAATTTTAACCAAGACAAGGCCAGAGCAGATGATAAAGGGAAATAGAAGAGAATAAACCATCCTAAACTGAGTGTACCTAGTTTTTTGAGCAGCTAAAGATTTTATTCAGTTTACTGAGAAAATCATTTCTGTGGTCATAATTCTTTGAAAAGGAAACATTTTCGAATTTTCTTTTTCAATGAGGCTGAAGTGGCTTCATATTCAACCTTTTATTGAACAGTTCTTTTTAAGGTGGAATGGAAAATTTGAGAGGAAAGTTTGGTAGTATACATGGTAACACTTTCTATAAATGTCATGTTTGTAAGCATCTATAAACACATTCATAACATATAAGGCATCATAAACATGGCTATAAATATTTATAAAAATGCATTACATGTTATAGCCATGCTTATTATGCATTATGAATTGTTAACATAAGGCATTATAAGTACTGTTCATAACAAATTATAAGAGCTAAGTAAAGTGAAGCATACTGTACTGAAGCCTCCTCCAGTGTTGAGAGTGAAAGTGAGAGTGATTTATTGAAGGATTTACTGAAACACTAAAACATTCACAGTAAAGCACATTTACAGGCTTCAAATGTCAGAGTTTAAACTAGAGCTGCCATCAGTGTTTTACCCAATGTGGGAAAGGTAATGTACACCACTGTTAGCTTGGCACTAATTACTGTAGTGTAGTGTAGTGATGTTACAGAGTGAAGGGTTCTAGCGCTTGACGTTAGAACCAGTGAGGGAACAAATTACAATGACAGCGCTCTACTATCTCACCTCTCCCTCTCCAGGTCTTCACTCCACTTTACGCTTAAATAAAATATTGGAAATCCTGTAAATAAACTTTGTATTTGTCTTTACTTTATGCTCTCCAAGCTGGGACTGACTTCTTTGGCACTGAAAGTATAACATGTTATTAACACTACTTATAATGCATTATATTAACAATTCATAATGTATACTAAACATGGCTATAAAGTGTAATTCATTTTTATAAATATTTATAACCATGTTTATAATGCTGTATGAATGCGTTATAAATGCGTTTATAGATGCTTACAAACATGACGTTCATAGAAAGTGTTACCATATACATTAAAGTATTATCTGCCTGTATGGTAAATATTTTCCCAAAATTCAACATGGGATGCTGTGGAAAACACATTTATAGTATCATACTGGCCTGAATGTTGTACATTATTGTAGAAATGGCAGAAATTCTTTACAGTGAAGTCTTGGTTGTACATAAGTGGGTAGGAGGATCATGCTAGAAAGAAAACATAGGCTAGAGGTTTGCTGTGCAGGAGGAAGGTGCATAGGCAGCATTCATCAAATCACAAGAACAGTCTGTTTAGTTTCAGAGCGCGTTCAGAATCAGCATTCAGTGGCATCGAATTTTGTTTTGTGTTTTTTAAGTGGCTAAATTCCCATTAGAGCAAATCACTGAGGTGTTGCTGGTAAAGTTGTGCTGGTGGAAATCGAGCCAGGGCTGAGAGGTTTGTGCAGGAGTGGTAAGGGTGGGTGGGTTAAAAGGGCGTTTGGTTCTAAGAGGTGGCATAACCATGGAGAAAGAGACCGACTCACTACCATCACCACCAGAGTCCTAAACAGTGGGTGCAGTCCGGTAGACGCTACAGAGGCGAAGGGGGAGTGAGATCACCTCATTAAAGGCTGTACATTGTTATTATACACAAGAAACAAATATTGAAAGCCTCACTTAAAACCGTAAAGTATGGCTGATACACTGTCAGTAATTGGCTACGAGTCCTTCCTAAGCTCTATTTGAGCTGGATTAGTTTACCAGAGGAGGTAAAGTAATGTAATTTGTGAGAGATTTCCATGGCTCAGGGGTGGCCAGTCCTGGTCCTGGAGATCTACCACCCTGCAGAGTTTAGCTCCAACTCTAATCCAACACGCTTCATCTAGGTAATGAAGGCCTTCAGGGGTATCTGGATATTAGAACCAGGTGTATCTGAACCCTCCAGGGTGGTAGCTCTCCAGGACCAGGATTGGCCATCCCTGAGATGATTCATATGGGATGAAGCAGGAAAATGCAGGGTTGGTTGTCACAAGGGGTGACTCACAGGGCCAGATGTGATCCTTTAACAAGAATACATGTCTTTTTATATTTCTGGTGCTGGATTGCAGCAAAATCTGCCATTGATAGGGGCATGACCCCTCTAAAACCCCTCTAGTCCATGCTATTTTAACAAGTGATGCAAGCCTAACACTATCGTTAGCTAATGGAACTGCTTTTTCCTTGAAAGATGTAATGGTTATATTTATTGCATGTACATCTACATGCCTAACAACCTGTAGTTCATGTCACTGTTGTGACAGTCCATCTGTTTCTCTGCATACTTTGTTAGCCTCCTTTTACCCTGTTCTACAGTGGTCAGGACCCCCATGGACCCTCACAGAGCAGGTACTATTTGGGTGGTGGATCATTCTCAGCACTGCAGTAACACTGACGTGGTGGTGGTGTGTTAGTGTGTGTTGCGCTGGTCTGAGTGGATCAGACACAGCAGTGCTGCTGGAGTTTTTAAACACCTCTGAAAATAGTCCACCAACCAAAAATATCCAGCCAACAGCGTCCTGTGGGCAGCGTCCTGTGACCACTGATGAAGGACTAGACGATGACCAACACAAACTGTGCTGCAGCAGATGAGCTATCGTCTCTGACTTTACATCTACAAGGTGGACTGACAAGGTAGGAGTGTCTAATAGAGTGGACAGTGAGTGGACACAGTGTTTAAAAATCCAGCAGCCAAATAGTACCTGCTCTGTGAGGGTCCATGGGGGTCCCGACCACTGAAGAACAGGCTAAAAGGGGGCTAGCAAAGTTTGCAGAGAAACATACGAACTACAGTCTGTAACTGTAGAACTACAAAGTGCACCTATATAGTAAGTGGGGCTGATAAAATATCATCATTAGGCTTGAAGGCCACATTTAGTACTATCAGTCACTCCTGAAGTATCACGTATGTACCTACAAGCATTACTGATTCATACTGTATTAAAGCTTTAAAGTTCAGTACCTCCCCAGATAAAACTAATCCTGCTCAAACAGGGCTTTATTTATTGCTGTACTGCACTATTATATTATAATTTATGTTGTGTTATAGCTCATAGTTTGTTTAAAGGTATATTATTGACCTACTCCATAATGTCAAGGTTTCTAGGCCAATATGCTTAGTTAAGCCTTTGAAGAGCTTTTGTTTGTGTTACAGCAATATTATGTGAAGCTGTAGTATGGAAGGAAAAAAAAACAGGAATTCTACCCAGAGGCAGGTTCCAGGAGCCAAGCAAGTCCATTGTGTCCTTGCCAATTCAAATGCTTGTTTTAGAATACATCTCTGCTATGCTACAGGCAGTTGGTAGCTTATACCATAGCAAATACAAATACTAAAAAAGCATAATTCTCTGCAAAGACATAAGTATCATCTTATGAGCAGCATGTACGCAATTAGTAGACATATCATTTCACTTGAGACAATTAGGTTTGATGGTAGACACCTACCAGTAGAGATAATAGAAGAAGGAGAGCACGAAGAAGGACATCTTGCACCAGGCCTCTTTCTGACAGAACTTGAGCGTGTCCCCATTCATGACGGACGCAGGGTCGTAGAGAAGCTCCTTAGTGTCCGTTGGGCTGTGGAAGTACCTGCCGAAGAGGGGGAAAGACAAAAGGCGGGTAGTGTGCCACGTTACACCACCTAGTCTCTGCCCTAGGCCCTCTGGGAGTACTGGGTCCACACCAGTTTAATCACCGCTCATGGGTCTGGGCTCGTGGTAGTTACTGGATACGAAGCCTGAGCGAATATTCGAGGATTTTTCAACTTCAACTTTATTTACAGCATCTTTCGTTGAGTGAAAGATTCATGAAAGTGTTTTAGAAAAAGTCAGTGATTGTTTTGCATAAACATTTATTGATAGAATCCAGCAACTGCCCATTGGCTTAATTCCTTAAAAAAGTTGGGACAGTGAAACGCTAACAAAAGCAGAATGCAGTGATTAGCAAATTCTGTTTGACCTGTATTAAACTACATAACAATATTTGATTATTTACTTTATGAACTGCACTGTTTTTATTGTAAATACACTTCAATTTTGAAAAAGCCCAGAGAAGTTGGCGGTGTTTCAGGATGCTGTTTACTGTGCATAACAGATGCAGTGATGAATGGTATTTATTGACTGTTTATTGAAGTACTCCTAAGCCCATCAGAGAAACATACATGTTTTTAATGCAATGCCATCTGAGGGATTATCATGGCCATTCAGTTAAGTTATACACTGTACATGATAAAAATCTAAAATATTTGCAATCACTTACTGAGAAACATTGTTCTGAAACTGCTGGATTTTTCACGGAGGCATTTTTTGACAAAGTGGTGAGCCTCAACCTATCTGTGCTCACAAACCAGCCCCTTCACAATGTTCCTAGTCTTAACTTTATTTGGACATGTTGCAGGTATTAATTTCATTATAAGCACATATTTATAAAAAAACAATGAATTCGATAAGCAGTTATAGCATTAAATATCTTGTCTTTGTACAGTTTTCATTTAAATACAGGTCAAAGTGGGTTTACAGATCACTGCTTTCTGTTTTAATATGAATTTCACATACTTTCCCAACCTTTTTGGAATTATAAGTGAGTTCAGAGTCAGTGAGTTTTCTGTTCTTTTACTAAGCACAAGTATACATGTTGAAATTATTGTGTAGTAATACTGTTTTAATACTGGGATTAAAACACTGGAGTATTCATTTAGGCTTAATACCTGGATAATAAGCCTAGAGTAAATGGTGTTAAAATGTTTTTTTGGTTAGAAGGAAATGTTCAGGTATGACACTGATTTGGAAAAGGGGTGTCTTTTCCCACCTCTACTGTCTTACACCGCTACTCTGTTGATGCTCTGTGTGTGTTTACAGTTCGGGCTCCTACCGAGCATAAAAAACCACCATGTGTCTGTGCCTTTGCTGCGCAGGGGGTGCAGGAGACGTGTCTTGAATAAACACAGCTGCTGTTAGCTCAGGCATGGCTAATATAAAATCATATTCTAAACAAGACGAGTCGGTACCACAGTGAGCTGGAGGTGTTCGGTCTGATTGGGGATGCTGTGCTTGTATACAGCTTTTTGATCCCACATATAAATTTTGTACAATCTTTATTAAATTCCAATTTTTTTCCCATGGGAATGAATGGGGTGCAAGGTTGTACACCCATCTATGGTACTTCTGCTCATCATATCTCAGGGCAGGACCTTGAGCACAATTTCAATGTAGTTCTAACCTGCACTCATCTGTTTGGAATACCACAGCAGCCACCTAGCAACACCTTAGCAATCATTTGGAATATCCTAGGAACTGCCTAGCAACCACCTTGGATATCATAGCAACTGCCTAGCAACACCTTAGCAACCACCTGAGATACCATAGCAACCACTTTAGATATCATAGTAACCACCTAGCAACGCCTTAGCAACCACCTGGGGCACCATAGCAACCATCTAGCAACACTCTAGCAACTACCTAGAATATTATTGCAACCACCTAGCAACATGTTAGCAAGCTTAAGCTACGCAGTCTTTCTTCCTTTTTTTTTTTTTTCAGGAAATGCACTTTTCCAGTTATTGTCGCTGTGCAGGCAGTTTTGTTTTGCAGGAAGAAAATCGGTAACACTTTCTATGAATGTCACCTTTGTAAGCATCTATAAACACATTCATAACATGTTATAATGCATTCATAAGACATTATAAACATAGCTATGAATATTTATAAAAATGCATTATACATTATAGCCATGTTTATTATGCATTATGAATTGTTAACATAATACATTATAAGTACTGATCATAACAAATTATAAGAGCTCATAAGTTGTATTTGTCCGCTCTAAGTAAAGTGAAGCGTACTGTACTAAAGCCTCCTCCAGTGTTAAGAGTGAGGCTTCAAGTTGAAGTATTTACTGAAGGATTTACTGAAACACTAAAACATTCACAGTAAAGCACATTACAGGCTTCAAATGTCAGAGTTTAAACTAGTGCTGCCATCAGTGTTTTACCCAATGTGGGAAAGGTAATGTACACCACCGTTAGCTTGGTATTTGTCTTTACTTTACGCTCTCCAAGCTGGGACTGACTTCTTTGGCACTGACATTATAACATGTTATTAACACTTTTTATAATGCATTATATTAACAATTCATAATGTATAATAAACATGGCTATAAAGTGTAATTCAGTGTAATTCTTTTTTATAAATATTTATAACCACATTTATAATGCCTTATAAATACATGTTATAAATGTGTTTATAGATGCTTACAAATGCAACATTCATAGAAAGTGTTACCAAAAAATTCTTTACATTTTTTCCCAAATATAATTCATTATGTAACAAACCACATAACTAATTGTGTAATTGCGTAATTGCAAGGGATGCACCTTAATTTTGGCCAAACTTTTTTTGAGAAAAAAGAAAAATTGGTCTCCAAAAAATTGTCAGTATCTAAGAATTTACAAATAATTTGAAAGCTTTTTAAAATAAAAAGTAAAAATAGAAACTATTAAAATGCTATTTGCTCTTTTGCTTTCTGGTGCCATTCAATGCAGATGTGTTCAAACAGGTTGAGTTGCAGCAGAACAACAATAAAATTGCTGGCCTTGTGGAGCTCTTTATAAGTCTCTATGATGAATGTCAGACAAGCGATTTTTAATCTCTATTAAAGCATCAAGAAGGGATTAAACAGAACTTCTCCACTACAGATTCAAGGCCACTTGAAAACACCACATCCTTCTAGATACAAAACACATCAAAACAACAGAAGCAGAAAGGAAAGTTCCTGCTAACACGCTAATGGCAGCTCCTGCCTCAGTTTTCCAAATAATGAAAAAATTGAATGGCAGAGCCAACATGAAGAGTATAACTACAAAATAATGAAATTCATTGCCTTGGATGACCAACAGTTCTCTGTTGTAGAGGTTGCTGGATTTGCAAGCACCACAGCCTTAATCTGGGGTTGACTGACGGGCCATGTTCTGGATGTGGACCCAGCAAAGTATTTTAGTGGACTGAAACAAGCACTTGAAAATAAAAAAGCAAAGACAATTACTGTATGTAAAAACTTTTAGCATCGTATATGATGCATATGATACACGTGTCTTATGTGTTCAGAGTCTGTGGTTCTGCTCAAAAGCGGAAACAAAACAAGCACTTCAAATCATCCTCCCAACAAAATCCAGTCTGAAAATAAACCCAAAGCTCCAGCAGGGTGCTCGTCTGTTCCCTGACTGCAGGCTATTAATTATGGCCTTTATTATTGTTTATTTTAATTAAGTCTTATTTTTAATTTATTTAGTTTATTTGACCTTATGAAAGGACAGGATTTTTCTTTTGTGAAGTTTTTCTTAAGATTTTTTTTCCTGTAAAAAGATGGTCTGCATTTTTTTTTTAACAAACATTAGGTATACATTTAAAATGCTCATTATATTATAAAAGCATATTCAAAATAAAACAGTATAGCAAAATATGTTTTGATGAGCCATGTTATTTTTTTAGTTGCTAAGCATTAATAGTTATCCATTTATATTAGTATGTTTATTTAAACCTTTGTAAGCAAAAACTTTGATGTAATTGGACCTTCACAAAATTTGCTTGAATAGTCTTGGCCTAATAATTTTGTGTGCCTATTTTACATAAGCTGTTTGTATTTGTCAGTTTTTCTTTGGTTTTCAGTGCCTCAATAATAATTACATTGAAATCTATAAACACATTCATAACATGTTATAATGCATTCATAAGACATTATAAACATAGCTATACATATTTATAAAAATGCATTATACATTATAGCCATGTTTATTATGCATTATGAATTGTTAACATAATATATTATAAGTACTAATCATAACAAATTATAAGAGCTCATAAGTGGTATTTGTCCGCTCTAAGTAAAGTGAAGCGTACTGTACTAAAGCCTCCTCCAGTGTTAAGAGTGAGGCTTCAAGTTGAAGTATTTACTGAAGGATTTACTGAAACACTAAAACATTCACAGTAAAGCTCATTACAGGCTTCAAATGTCAGAGTTTAAACTAGAGCTGCCATCAGTGTTTTATCCAATGTGGGAAAGGTAATGTACACCACCGTTAGCTTGGTATTTGTCTTTATGCTCTCCAAGCTGGGACTGACTTCTTTGGCACTGACATTATAACATATTATCAACACTATTTATAATGCATCATATTAACAATTAATAATGTATAATAAACGTGGCTATAAAGTGTAATTCAGTGTAATTCTTTTTTATAAATATTCATAACCATGTTTATAATGCCTTATGAATACATTATAACATGTTAATGTGTTTATAGATGCTTACAAATGCGACATTCATAGAAAGTGTTACTAAACAAAACGATGATAAAGGGTTAAAAGACCACAACCACTGAGTGCCCTGAAAGGAATAATGCCTGTCTCCTTCCTGGGGCTATTGAAGCAGTTCAGGTATGAAAAACAGAAAAGAGGAGGTGCCAGTACAGAGAGAGAGAGAGAGAGAGAGAGAGAGAGAGAGAGAGAGAGAGAGAGAGAGCCCCATAAGGACATGGGTACAGCAGCTGTGCTCAGTAGGGAGGTGGAAGAGGAGGATGGATGAATTTCATGCTACATCTCCCTCTCTCTCTGAGTAGCACTCAGAAAGCTAGTCTCTGAAGCCGTGCGGCATCTGGCACAGGCGGCAATTAACATGATGGAGGGGACGCCATAACTTCTACTGGCTAAGCGGAACAATAATAAACTTCTGAGAGCATTACAGATGATGATGATACCAAAACGAGAGCACAAACAAAGCTTAGTAAGTCTGCAGCGAGTCATGCTCACGATGCTATCAGGACCAGACCCGGGGATATAAACATATTATCATGCACGAAACGTCTCCGGTTGTGGCTGAAGAACTAGATCCTGTCCACAGAGATGCTTTGCCCCCAGTCCTTGCCAGTAAATCTAGTTCACCTCGTTTTTCTTTCCCCGGAAAAACACTGGCACTGAAAGGCAGAAGCACACCCTCATATGACGAGGCCGTCTGTAGTAATTGGCTGCGTCGCTTCACATTTGCTCGGCGCCACTGGAGAAAGATTTGTTGTGCGAGCAGTAAATTGCTGCAGCTCATTCTTGTAATGGCTCTAAAGGTGCTGCCTTTTTTCCTCTGGTTGGCACTGTTCGCTGAAGCATTCGTTCTGACAAACAAATATCTGCACACTGTCATTATCCATGTGGGGTGAATGAAAAAGTCAAGCGAAATGAGAAATGTATGGATTATTCGCTCTAAAAAGTATAATAAGGGCTGAGAAAGGGCTGACATGGAAAACAGGAGCCGGAAATGGTTCTTCAGAATATTATGATCAAACTGTGCACATGGGTCATGGAGATGTTTTGGAGATGAATTCGTTTTGTTATGTACAATTAAATCACTTTAAATCACTTTTTGCTCTGAAAGATTATCATTAAATTTCCTTTACTAATGAATTATTTCTCTTAATATGTAATTTGGTAGGTTTCAGTCTTGGCCTGATTGTAATTATAATAGAGGGTTTAGAAACTGCAAGTCGGGCTGAATCTAGTTTCAGCCTCTATCATAACTGTGTTCGTTTCATGCATGTTTTATCAGATGAGGAACAAACTTTTGTAAGCAGGTTTTGCAACATTGAGCCCAAGGAGCTTAAAATGTAGGACCTCACAAATACATATGTTTTGCACTCATATTTGGTGTATATGAAGTAAAAGGCCCAACAGCATGCTCAACATAACTCTACATAAAAATGTGGGTTTGCTTAATAACCAGCTTGGCAGACTGCTAACAGGCTATTCCAGTAATATTCAGTGTTATGCTTTGTAATATTTGTAATATTACATACAAAAAAAAAAAACAACAACAACAAAAAAATATCTACATGTTTGTTACACCTTTCAAATGTCCATGTAGGCCAGAGTTTGATGCTAACCTAACATAGCAAACACCATAGTGGTGGTAGGAATTAGCATTTTACAGTGGTAATACAAACACAGGGTACTTATAAAGCAAAGGTTGACATATTAAGCACCTCTGCATCTCTCTGTAGAGGTGTGAGCTTCATTATGTGGACAGTTTTTCATGTTTTCATTTTTAAGGATTATTTTGTATGTGCATGTAGAACCAGGGTTTGGAGGTTGCTTTAAAATATATATCCCAGTATACATTACTGGTTACCTGTTAAAAAAAAAAATAATAATAATAATAAAAAATATGTAACCTAACCTATATCAAAGTAACAATCAAATTACTTTCCTTTACTTTTGGATTGTGTCTTTTTAAAGTCATATAAATAAAGTCCTTTAAATGAAGGAAAGGGTGATAAGTTTACCAGGAGCTCACTAGAAGAAAATGTGAGTGATTTTAACAGAAAAATGAAAACATTTTGAACTCTAAGCCTGAAATATAGGAAAACAGGTAGAGGTTCAGAACGATTCAGTTCATTGAGTTCAATAAATATGTAAATGCAAATCGCGTTAAAACTGTACTGCTTATTTGTTAAAAAATCTGTTATCTATCACAAAATCAAAGGATCAATCTATATAAGTCTTCTTTTGAGAGCCCTCGTCAGCAGCGGTCATTCTAAAAAATTCAAATGGACATCATTTGTTCCCTGTCTGCTAAAAGGTCTATATTGTTCTTAAGATTTTATATTGGTTTGTCGCTGTATTTTGACGCTTGATGTAATTTGGTGACTATCCCTTAGCTCTCTGCAATTTCAGTAGTCCACACAAATCCATGTTTAAAAAGCTTTTCAGTGGAAGGAATTCACTAAAGAACTACGTGGAAACTGACTGTAGTAACAAATATTGATAATTTGCATGTTAACATATTTTGCACCCAGCACTTGAAAACTACAGAAGAAAAAAATCATTAATGTGAAAATGAAACCAACTTTACTGCATACAAGACCTTGCTTTCTTTAGACATTTCAGTATTTCAAATTAATGTTAGCTCACTGCAGCATTAAAATCTGGAACATTAACATTAGCAAAAGTTTGATTTATAGTTAAATTGTAGAAATTTATGTAGCAACAAATGAGAATAAAGAGTTTTCATTCATATCAGTTTGAATATGGCTATTATATATATACATATACCTGTAATCTGATTACTGTATTTTTCCTGTAAATATAACTGAATAGTTCCCTTCTTTATACCCTGATTATGTAATGCCATTCTGTGTGTTCTGTTACTATCCAACTCCGTGTATAACGACAGGCAGAAAGCTGGTTTGGAGTCTAGGCTAAAACTTGTGGAGACCAGTTTGTTTTTAAGTTGTTAAAATGATACTGTGCATCAAGACTGTGTTCATCACACTTGACGGCTTTAGGCAAGAGTAAACATGCTTCCACTGTAGCTGGCCATATTGGGCTGGGCAGCCAGGAAAGGCCTGAAATAATTCTTTTTGGAAACTTGCTAAAAACTATACTCAAAAAGCACAGGGATGAGTTTCCAAAGACATTTCGAACTGTATGTACTCATAAAGAAAGTAAGCTGACTTAGATACTTACCTCCATGTATTGTAGAAAAGGAGGGGAATGTTCAAGCCCACGGTTAGCCACTCTTGGGCACATAGGAACATGATACAGAAGAGACCATGGATGGAATACTCTGGAAGCACCAGCTGGTGGGAGGACAAACAGATACTGGGCATTACATTATACTGAAGATCCTTAATACATTGACATGCACTTAAAAATGACGTACAAAAACTGATTTTCATATGATAAGCTACACACACAATTCATAATGTGAATCCAAAAAATGGTTGGTATGAGAGTATTGCTAGCCTCTTACACACTGTGATTTATTAATTATAGCTAAGCTGGTAACACTTTCTATGAATGTCACCTTTGTAAACATCTATAAACACATTCATAACATGTTATAATGCATTCATAAGACATTATAAACATAGCTATAAATATTTATAAAAATGCATTATACGTTATAGCCATGTTTATTATGCATTATGAATTGTTAATACATTATAAGTACTGATCATAACAAATTATAAGAGCTCATAAGTCGTATTTGTCCACTCTAAGTAAAGTGAAGCGTACTGTACTAAAGCCTCCTCCAGTGTTAAGAGTGAGGCTTCAAGTTGAAGTATTTACTGAAGGATTTGTTGAAACACTAAAACATTCACAGTAAAGCACATTACAGGCTTCAAATGTCAGAGTTTAAACTAGTGCTGCCATCAGTGTTTTACCCAATGTGGGAAAGGTAATGTACACCACCGTTAGCTTGGTATTTGTCTTTACTTTACGCTCTCCAAGCTGGGACTGACTTCTTTGGCACTGACATTATAACATGTTATTAACACTTTTTATAATGCATTCTATTAACAATTCATAATGTATAATAAACATGGCTATAAAGTGTAATTCAGTGTAATTCTTTTTTATAAATATTTATAACCACGTTTATAATGCCTTATAAATACATTATAACATGTTAAAAATGTGTTTATAGATGCTTACAAATGCGATATTCATAGAAAGTGTTACCGCTAAGCTATTGGTAATAAAATGAATACATGACCATGTAGACACACATAAGCCTGTGAATGTCAGGTAATGGTGTGTATTTACAGAAGGGACAAACACAGGTTTTGCCTTTTGGGAATTTGGAGAAATCTGAATGTGTAACTGTTACTATATAGGTGCACTTTGCAGTTCTACAGTTACAGACTGTAGTCCATCTGTTTCTCTGCATACTTTGTTAGCCCCCTTTTACCCTGTTCTTCAGTGGTCAGGACCCCCATGGACCCTCACAGAGCAGGTACTATTTGGGTGGTGGATCATCCTCAGCGCTGCAGTAACACTGACGTGGTGGTGGTGTGTTAGTCTGTGTTGTGCTGGTCTGAGTGGATCAGACACAGCAGTGCTGCTGGAGTTTTTAAACACTGTGTCCACTCACTGTCCACTCTGTTAGGCACTCCTACCTTGTCAGTCCACCTTGTAGATGTAAAGTCAGAGACTTGGTGAACTATTCTCAGTCCAGCAGTGACACTGAGGTGTTTAAAAACTCCAGCAGCACTGCTGTGTCTGATCCACTCAGACCAGCGCAACACACACAATAACACACCACCTTATGTGTATATCTTGTGTGTATTTTCATGGGACCCTAGGCCGCTGCTTCACCTAATGCAAACACTGTGGTTGCCTGGATGTAGGCATAGATGTCAAAGGTTATCATAATAAGAACTGCACTATTCACAAATGGTATCACTGAATATTTGGTCTGGTTGGCTTAAGAGTTATCTGTGTATTTGTGTATGCAAACCATTGCAGTTGAATAGCTGCACATTTGCAGTGTTTACTAGTTTAATTCATGCCCCAATTCCTCTGTCCAGGGCCTTTTTTTGTAGTTATCTCAGTGTTGACCCTGCCTGCCTGCCTCTTTTTATATTTTTATGTTGTTTTTTTTTATAGCTCACCCTATGTTAACCTGTCGGCCTGTGCTTTGACTCTGCTATGGATTGTAATTTCTGGTAATGTCCCAACAAACCTGACTCACTCTTACATCCTACTGCCTCAAGCTCCTGTTTGTTACACCGAATTCTCTTGCCACACATGGACTGGGTAGCGAGCGATTTACCCGAAGCATGGTGCATATTCAAGCAGCATGCCAAGCTGATGTTTTTCTGTGTGCAGAAAATAAAAGGAAAAGACTGGAAATGATGAAACCTTCTGTGAACTGGCAAAAAAGGGAGAAACATATTCTCACTGTGGAAGAGGCTAAGGTACTCAGATCCTGTTGCGACTACTTTGAACATCATGACTCACTGAAGGAAACTGTAATATTCGCTTGCTTAGAAGTTTCACCAAAAAATGAAACATTTTGAAGACGTTATGCCCGCTTGCGGAAGACTGTAATCATGTTAACAGTGAAGAGACGGTTCGAGACAGAACACATTCTTCCAAAAGTGAGAGTGAAGTTGCTTAGTGTCGGTTCTGAATTAACACTGCACGAGGCAAGTCTCACAAAATAGAAAAAAGCTCAGCTAAAAGAAATTGCTGGGAGCTCGAGTAAATTACGTGAACAGCCCCTGCATGCAGTCAGTCGGCATACATCAAAGCACTCACTTGGAGACAAAGAAAACTCCTGACACAGACATAACAAATGAGCAAGAGAAAAATCTGCGAATGTGGCTTTTCTGGAAATAAAGCTCATAAACAAGAACAGAGTCCAATAACCATTCAGAAAAAAAGTTTCATGCACCAGCTATAGAAAGGAAGTGCATATGCATCTAAAGCCATTACAGATACTGAAGTCAGCTACTCACAGATCGAGGAAGAGCTACATTGTACATTTATGGCATTTGGCAGACGCTCTTATCCAGAGTAACTTACAATATGATCATTTTACACAGGTAGGCAAAGGCAGTGTTAGGAGTCTTGCCCAAGGACTCTTATTGGTATAGTGTAGAGTTCTTACCCAGGCGGGGACTGAACCCCGGTCTACAGCGTAGAAGGGAGAGGTGTTACCCATTACACTAGACCGACCGTTATATGGTTTACATTTACAGCATTCGGCTGACGCTCTTATCCAGATCAACTTACAATTTGATCATTTTACTCAGGTAGGTGAAGGTAGAGTTAGGAGTCTTGCCCAATGACTCTTATTGGTATAGTGTAGGGTGCTTACCCAGGCTTGGATTGAACCCCAGTCTACAGCATAGAAGGCAATAGTGATACCCATTACACTAGACCAACCACAATATGGTCAACGGTATGTGGGCACACCTCCTAATTATTGGGTGCAGGTGTTTCAGCCACAGGTGTATAAAGTCAAGTCAGCCCTGTTAGGTATGTCCTAGTCAAAAGTGCTATAATTGTGAAATGGGAGCTTCTAAGAGCAACAACAGCCCAGCCACGAACAGGTAGACCATGCAAGCTCACAGAGCTGGGACACTGAGTGCTTTAGTGTAAAGTCATCTGTTGCTTCACTCACCACACAGTTCCAAACTGCCTCTGGAGGCAACATCAGCACAAGAACTGTGCATTGGGCTGCAGACAGGCCTAAGATTGCTGTATGCGATGCCAAGCTTTAGGTGGAGTGGTGTAAGGCCGTCGGTGGACTCTGGAGCAGTGGAAACTTGTTCACTGGAGTGATAAATCACACTTCACTATCTGGATTTCTGATGGATAAATCTGAGTTTGGTGGATGTCAGGAGAACGCCACTTAGTAGAATGCATAGTGTGAACAGTAAAGTTTGGTGGAGGAGGGATAAAGGACTGGGCTTGGCCCCGTAGTTCCAGTGAAGGGTAACTTTAATGCTACAGCATACAAAGACAGTTTATGTGCTTCCACCTTTGTGGCAACAGTTTGGGGAAGGCCCTTTCCTGCACAAAGCGAGCTTCACAAAGGCATGGTTTGATGAGTTTGGTGTAGAGGAACTCCAGTGGCTGGCACAGAGCCCTGACCTCAACCCCACTCAAGTCAATTTTGAGCCAGGCCTTCTCATCCAACATCATTGCCTGACCTAAAGTGGTCAAACAGTCTGATTATCTATGCTGCTTCCCAGCTGTCAATACTCTCCCAATTGATGACAGAAACAGCTCGAGCTCAAATAAACAAACATTACTCACTGCTGCCTTCTGAAGGTGTTAAAGCACCAGTCTTTGTTTTGTTGTTTTTATTTGTAGGACATATGATGCATCTCAATAAATAAATTTCGGTAACATTTTCTATGAATGTCACCTTTGTTAGCATCTAGAAACACATTCATAACATGTTATAATGCATGCATAAAACATTATAAACATAGCTATAAATATTTATAAAAATGCATTATATGTTATAGCCATGTTTGTTATGCATTATGAATTGTTAACATAATGCATTATAAGTACTGATCATAACAAATTATAAGAGCTCATAAGTGGTATTTGTCCGCTCTAAGTAAAGTGAAGCGTACTGTACTAAAGCCTCCTCCAGTGTTCAGAGTGAGGCTTCAAGTTGAAATATTTACTGAAGGATTTACTGAAACACTAAAACATTCACAATAAAGCACATTACAGGCTTCAAATGTCAGAGTTTAAACTAGAGCTGCATCAGTGTTTTACCCAATGTGGGAAAGTCAATGTACACCACCGTTAGCTTGGTATTTGTCTTTACACTCTCCAAGCTGGGACTGACTTCATTGGCACTGACAGTATAACATGTTATTAACACTATTTATAATGCATTCTATTAACAATTCATAATGTATAATAAACATGGCTATAAAGTGTAATTCAGTGTAATTCTTTTTTATAAATATTTATAACTACATTTATAATGCCGTATGAATGCATTATAACATGTTATAAATGTGTTTATAGATGCTTACAAATGCGACATTCATAGAAAGTGTTATCCAAGTTTCCACTTTCTTTTACGGACATGTATTTGCTTCAATCCCTAAACATATGAAAAGGCATCCGTTGCACACCCTGTTTGTTATGACGAGCATATTGTGGCATTTGCGAGGAAGATAATGCAGGAAACGTAACGCTGTAAGTGAATGCTCTTTTACTGAACACAACAGCTTTAGCCTAACAACAACTATTTACAAGATTTAAGTCTCTCCTACTGCAGGTGTAGCCCTTCCCAAGAACCTGTGTGAGTGGCCGC